GCCTAACCAGTCTGATAGTCTTTGATAAAATGACTAGCTTGGTGAATGAGGCAGAAGATATTGTTTGCTTTGACTTCAGCAAGGATTTCAGCACCATCTCCTATAACATATTCATTGACAAACTGATCAAGTACAGAATGGATGAGTAAACAGTGAAGTGGAATGAAAACTGGCTAAACTGCCAGGCTCAGCAGCGCGAAGTCCAGCTGAAGGCCAGTCACCAACTGGTGTATGCAAGGCATCAACACTGGGGCTAATGCTGTTTAACATCTTCATTAATGACCTGAATGATGGGACAGAGTGCACCCTCAGCAAGTTTGCAGAAGATACAAAACTGGGAGGACCAGCTGATACACCAGAACATGGGAAGAAATTGTTTACAGAAGTTGTACAGTGCCCATTCTTGGAGATATTCAAACCTGACTGGATATGGTCCTGGGCAAACTGCTCTAGCTGACCCTGCTTTGAGCAGGGGAGTTGGAGAAGGTAACATCCAGAAGTCCCTCCCAACCTCAAGTATTCTGTGATATTTAGGCATGTGTGACATCCAAACTGCAAGTTTCTTTCTGATCTCATTCTAAAAAAAAAAAAAAAAAAAAAAAAAAAGCTTCTTACTATATCGTAGAAACTTAATAATTAGCATTCTGTAACACTGCTGCATAACCAGATCAGCAGTTTCTCATCAACACTTTAATAACACAACTGCTACGGCAAATTCTCTGTACTAAAGCACTACTAATCTTTCAAAGTAAATTACAGCATTCATTTGTACCACCAAACAACTAAGCAAAAATTGCCAGAAAGTTATTTCAGATTAATATTTTTGTTCATTTACTTGCTAGCTTTCAAAATTAGAGCATTAGTGTGAACTGGTGATATTCTATGTATTAAAGCATAAAATTTTCTTTCAAATCAATTAACAGTAAATGAAGGTTCCTAGCATATTAGTAATGCTATAACATATGTTAGCATTTACTACAAAAGCCAATTAAGAATGAAAAGACTGAAACTGTGATTCCCTAAACACTGTAATGAAAGTGTAATGCACAAACTGAGGTATCTATATTCACCATATGGGCTACTGAACATTTTTTTTATGTCACATAAAAACATTTCATATTACTTACTGGTCTGATTTTATTTGGGGAAATACACATCTTTAACATAACATGAGCAATACACAGAACTGTAGGGTGATACACTAGTAATCTAATATATTCCATTCCAATCATAACAGTACATAGTCAATAAAATAGAACCATTTCATTACAAAAGTAAATGAAGAGAACAGATAGGTTTTATTAAACATAACAATTCAGGATTGAGTATGTTAGCTAGATCCTACTGAAATGTACCTTCATTCTTTACGCTTATATCTTAACTGCCTTGTTGCTGAATACTTGGAAGTTAGGTGACCTCAAAACAGTGCCTGTGGAGATGCTATATTCAGGTTTCTGGATACAGGCAATCCTCTAACAGCAAATACTAAATGGATGAACACAAGATTTAGGCAAGCCATACAACTGAGGAGCATATATTGCATGCCTCAAAGCAAGGCTCTACAGGGCCTCCGAGGAAGCTGTGGTGGAGATGCCTTCAAACGGACAAGAATCCATCAGGAAGGAGACTGGCTCAGCCATCAGATTTCTTGCTACTTACCTCCTGCAGACCCTTGTCTTTGCTCATCTGCAGAGCTCATAAGGCCATGCAGATTACTAGAGCAATATCAGTGGTCCCTACATCCTTGGGGAATCTTTCCAGGGAGCAAGGTCTTGTACTAAACACTAGAGACACTTACTTCGTCATTCATCCATCATTCCTGACAGCACTCTGTTTAGAAATCCAGCCTCATCCTGTGCACCTCCTTGCAGCCACGTTACGCATTGAGGTGGTTTGACTGTAACAATAACCACCACAACAGAAATTTACTGGCTAGTTGCAAGTTGTCTACAACTACCTGAAAGGAGGCTGTAGCAAGGTGGGGGTCGGTCTCTTTTCCCAAGTAACAAGTGACAGGACAGGAGGAAACAGCCTCAAGTTGTGCCAGGGGAGGTTTAGATTGGATATTAGGAAAAAATTCTCCACTGAAAGGGTTATCAAGCATTGGAATAGGCTTCCCAGGTAAATGGTGGAGTCCCCATCCCCGGAGGTATTTTAAAGATGTGCAGATGTGGCACTTAGGGACATGCTTTACTGGTGGACTTGGTAGTGTTAGGTTAACAGTTGGACTCAATGATCTTAAGGGTCTTTTCCAACCTTAACAATTCTATGAAGACAATCAGCACAAATAAGCAGGCAAAGTACTCAGTTCTAGTAGTGAACCAGGCATTTTCTAAATTCTTTGGTTCAGGCAGCCACTAAAGAAAGATCCTTCCACACAGAATGGGTGATAAATAAGTCAGTACATTTCATTTTGATCTGCAAATACCACTTACTTTTATGCTTTCAAGAATGAAAACCAGAACTGAAGTCATATCCATTCATCAACATTATCATAAAAATCACATTTAGTAAGGAGTCCTAACTGTCTGTTCTGCATACCCTATCACAATATCCCTCTCAAAACTGCAGTATATCTAAGAAATGGACTCTTTGGACAATGTGTGTTGCAAATGCTTCGTCAGTCAGTACTGAACAGTCCTTCTGGAAAAAGCATGAAAGAAAAAAAACAATTGGGGTTTTTGTTTTGTTTTTTAAAGGGGAACATAAGTCCTGGCATCCATCATTATTTTCTGCTAGTCATTTCCACATTTGGATAGCCCTCAGAATATTATTTTGTCTCCTTCCATATTCTAATGAAAGTCTGCATAAAACACATGCTTGGAATTCACAGGTACTCCATTTGCAATCAGCTATATACTCCAAAAATCAAGCCATTATTTGAAGCCCTTATTAGTAAGAAGTTACTGTCTTCATCCTTTGAGGCGCCTGCATTAAGATTCAAAGGAAAAACCAAATCCAACATATCACAGTGCTGCTGCACCTCTTACTCAATGAAAATTATAGAGGCTCTGCTTCCCTAGAGAGCCTCAGGGCTACCAATTACCCAAAGAGTTAAGTCTTATATTCTCACATTTGAGGAACTACATTGCTAATTTACATAATCTGTGTAATCTATCTACCTAATTGCTGCTAATCTTAAAGATTGCTTAGCATTTCTATTTCAGCTCCCTATTTTTTTTTCAATATAAGTTTTCCATAGTTCAATTATTTTGGATTTCATTAGTTCAAAAACTAGTACTCTACATGAGCTTTCCAGAAAGAGCAGCAGCTTTTTAAAAGAGAAAAAACACATTGTGGTTCAACTTTGCTTACAGGGAGAAAATTTCCCATTCAGAACTGTTTAGTTTAAAATTAAGTTTTCTATTTTCAGTTAATAATTCAAAAAGTAGACCACAATTATGTCAGCATAGTAGCGCACACATTTATTAGAAGTCCAGTTTGCATTTAAAGCGGTACTTGCATATAGACAGGAATGAAAAATTGCCTTATTCTGCGTGGAAAAAAAAAAAACGTTCAAACCAAAACTGCAGGTGTTGGCAGACCTACATTAAGCTGTAGATCCAAGTTTAGCCTGGGTCAATTGCACTGTCTACAAAAGAGGGGGAAAAGGTGACTGTGCTGACTCCTCCTGTATACTCCACAACCAATTATTATCTATCTCACAGTCTAAACCACACCACTAGGAAACAAGACACTTATGTTGCAGTTCCCATACCAGTTTTTAACTGAAACACAATAACCTTAAAAGAAACCATATTTGTTTCCTCACAGGCTATACCTACAACCAATTCCTTCAGATGGTGGAAACCCGTCTTTAACCCCAACCTCTGAATTAGGCAGGGAAAGATTTGAACCAGAATCTCCACATTGAAAACAAGTGTCTTAAATCAGGAATTAGTACAGTTGAGTCCATACTTACCATCTTTGTAACTCAGCTCTGTACTTTTCAATAGACAAAATAAAAACCCATCACTAGATTAAAACAGTCAAAATAATTTATTTCCCCTTCCTCCCCAAATTTTGCTGAAAGTCCCAAGGAAGAATATCTCTGGATTTCGATTAACTCTGAAACCTTCTATTTTTTTCAGTTTGGTAATTGAAGAAATCCATTATTTTCACATTTCAGCATGCAAGTCAAAAAACTTCACATCCAAACTGGCGATCTGCACACCCACTTGAACTCACAGACCATCAATTCAGCATGGCTTCAAACTCTGCTTTTGAAGTTAAAACCTCATGTTTTCTAATGATGTATATGATATTATAACAGTGCATTAATTATCTTTCCTTTTCAGCTCTTGCATAGGAGCTTTGCATTTTATCTGAAGTGAGAGTGTGAGAAGTCCTAAACTGGACATTGGAACAAGAGATTTCTCCCCATCTAAAGGGGTATCTTAGCTACTAGCCTACAGAAACTAGCTTCAGCTTGCTTGCTTTCATTTTGACCCCACATATCTCATGGTCCCATAAAGCGACAAAGCTACTAACAGGGAAGGGAATAGACAGAAGTTCCTAATTTTTAGGAGCTAGAAGTCCTCTACAGGAGTTAGACATTAGCATTTACACAATGAGAGCCTTGATGCCACCTGTAACCTCAAAGCTCCGTACCATTTTCCCTCTGCAAACAACAAAATATTTAATCATAATTTAATAATCTGAACATTAAACCATTTTGCCTTATCTGTTGCATGACACAAGCCATGAAATTTCATTACCTTATTTTTGCTCTGTGTCCAATAGCAACAGTTGACTAAACATCTTCTGGAGAGCCACAGGGCAATGTTCAGTCAGGACTCCACATACTCACATTTTTACTGAACACCAGGGTTGAAGCCTGCAGAAATCTACTCAGTAGAACAGACTCTCTGATACAAGGCTGCCTGTACAACAAAGCATCACAGCTGGTTCTGCAAACTCCACTTTGAATGAGCCTTGCATTTACATTTCTACAAAAGGTTTCAAACAACATTTAGAAGACAGGTTCCATTTGTACTTACAGAAGCCGCACCTGGTACCCCCTTCAAAGATGAATCCATTTGGGACAGCTCCATACCGACGCAGATCTGAGAGCTTCCATTGCCCCATGACACTAGGAGGAAGGTCTTTTGCAAGGACGAGTATGTCATTGCAGAAATGCAGGGTAGCAGGCCCGCTCTCTAGTTTAGTGCCAGGTGCTACAAAAACTTGAAATCTATGAACTATCAGATAAGGAAGAAAAAAAAATTACTGTAGAAAATAGAAGTAAGGTACCATGACTTATGTTACATAAGTCATTCTGTTCAGCTGTGGTATGTGGACCAACCCCTGCCCACACCACAAGGCTCTAGCAGAAAGGTTTTAAGTAGAGCCTGGACAGCCCCATGTGAGTAGCTATAAGCTCATTACTCTATTATGTCAGTTTAGAATTGAAAAAAAAACGTATCTTGGCTTAATGCTACAAATGATTAAGTTGCAACGCTACATTAATTTATCCTAAGTCTTCCAGGCTACTCCCTATCTCAAATTAGTCGGTTATCCAGCCCACATTTCAGTTAAGAAGGAGTTAAGTTCTAACCAGAGCCCTGTCACTGACTCATTTGCAACCTTTAATAAACTGCTTCACTCCTTCCCTAGCAGTAAATTGGGAAAATTACATTTTCCCACCTTTGCAAATCTTTTGGGAGTTGGTGATGGTAGATGCCCAGACATTTAAAATGACTAGAAAATTAAGTCATTCATAGGTAATAAACACTCTTAGATGTCAGTTAATTCTTCATATTTCACAGCCTAAACTTCAAAAGAGTGGGGGGAAAAGGAAACACCTGTCTCATTCAAGTTTACAAAATTCAGGTGCAAATCCCAACTCCAGTATCCCCTATATTGCAAGGGTCCTTACTTAAAGTAGCAGCTGTTCTGGGCTGGTCTCCCATCTTCTCCTCCAGAGCTGTTGCATTCTGAATAATAACTGACTGGGAGCACTTCAAGGGCTCAGATCTCACAGTGTTTCAAAGGGAGCAATTTAAGTGAGCAAGCACCTAATTCTCAAACAGCTGTTTTGACCTCCACTACTCATCTAGTTTCTTTCATCTTGTGATTAGACAAAAAAAGAAAAAAAAAAAATCTGTCTCAGCACAGAGAAGCATCAGGACTGTTACATTTCCAGTCTGAGGTTTTCAGTGGAGCATTTATCAAGAAGCACATAGATTTAGCTTTGGTTATCTATCAAAGAGTATACGAACAGCTACCTGCCTATGAAATCTACAGGGTAACTTCCAGGTAGTCTCACTTCTTACAACCAGTTTTGCCTGTTTCTTACCTATGCTTCCTCAAAGCATCATGAATTTCAGCTAGGTCTGAGTCTTGCTTCTCATCTAAATACTTGCTATATTCTTAGTTACCATCTTAGCTGTAAGTGAACTCCTCATCTATGACGTGCATTTGGTAAGTTCCCTAAGGCTCCAGCAGAATTAGCCACAAAGTCATTCGAGTGAAATGTGCAAGGAGACAGAGATAGATCTAACTAACCACAGCTCTACTTACAGCTTTGCCAGTAGTACTGCTAGGGAGCAAATCAATAGTCACTCGATGTCCCCTTTTGGGCACGCAGTTGTTACACAACCTGCTTAAACATAAACTATGAAAGAGATACCAAAACCATCTTGACAAATAATGTACAGTATGGAATCTTTAATATCATTGGGACCCCTCTGCCCAGTTAACTCACTTTGCTGGCAATTAAACCATAGGAGCAGAAGCATCAGGGTTCTTTCTGCCTCATAAATGAGGAACAGAGCACACTCTTCACACAATCAGTTGCAAGTTACAACAGCTGCTGAAAACAAAGAGCTACAGCTCAGATTCTAGACCACCATTAAAAAAAACCAAAAAACAAAAAACAAAAAACAACCCACAGCATATCCAAATCTGAACAAACCCAATGTAGAGGGAAAAAAAACAGATCTGGACATGAAGCTTTTGCCATATGCTGCTTTCTTGTTAATTTTTTTTTTTTTCCAAATGCCTCCCAAGCCATCTACTTCTACTCTAAAAAAAAAAAAAAAAAGATACATAGCTGAATACACTCATGAACAAAATGTGCTATTTAAGTTCCTCATTTCCATTAGCTAATCTTTTCCTCTTGACAGCCATTCACTGACCTGCAGTACGGTAACTTCCTCAGAATGAGCTGTGGGCTCAAGCACTCTTCTCACACCAGACTTACACCTCAACTCACTTAATTCCACTGTTTTCTCTAATCCTGGTTCTTTTATTCCAGGAATCACATCCACGTCATCTGCTAACAACAGAGAGAAATCACTGGGAACTCCAGTGCAAACACCTCCATTCTGTGGTCCTCATTCAAGAGCAGCTTAAACTCCTTTCACTTTTCCACAACGCCCCTTCCGAGACTCTGAGATCATCTGTCCTTAGTCTATTTTTATCATCCAGCCACCTTACTACCAAGGCACACAAAGGCATCCTTACTACTCTTTAAGAAAAACACACCAGTCTCCATACTCTCTTCATATGTCTCCACTCTTTTCTATTTCTGTCTAGTCAAACTAGATTCACTTTAATTTGGCTTCTTTCTCCTAACTGAACCTGCACTGAAAGATAAAATCCTGAACAAGTTTTCTATACTCTGGTCTATCCACCTTCCCCTTAGCTTTTTTGCAATTAACATTAAACAAATTATTGCCAGTTCAACCAATTATACTTGTTCTCTTACTTCTTCATTTCTTCACCTCCACACACACTCTCTCTCACTCCATCTTTACTCCACAGCTGCACACGTCTTCATCCAATAGGCTCTATTCCTACGTCACTCACAGCTTTCTTGTAAAAAACTCTTTGCTGCTTCTAGATTTCCTCCTTTCACAACCATAACCCTCACACCCAGACTGAGATTAAATACTCTCTCCATCCCAGCATTGCACTAACGCAAGATCACGAAAACCAGACCTACCCTGCCAAATTGAAATTCTCCTTCAGGTTTTAGGACAAGCCTATGCTGTGCATAGATTCCAAATCTAGTAAAGAAACAGAACCGGAACACGATACAGCTACACAGAAGTGTACCAACTACTCCAGCTACTCATGCCTGTATTGTTCAGAAACCCCCTCTAACCTTTCCCCTTATGCAAGGCTTCATAGCTTCACAGCTCCAAGTGGTATATCCATAAATCTCTCTTCTGATACTTCTACATTTGATTACTGTAAAATTCCCAGGCCATCTTTCTATGTATGTACTGCAAAGGAACGAGTCCACAAATGCAACAGATGGCAAAGCATATGTAACAAATGATTAAGATGGCTAATGTGTGCCTCCCACACACCTACCCTCCTTCCCTAGTTATGACTAAACAAACATAAGACAGATACTATGGATTACCAATATTATTACTCCTTGTTCACCACTGTACATTTTAGAGCTGCTAACCAAGAAAATAAAATAAAAGGATGTGTAAGAGTGAAGTTAGCTGGAAAGACTGAGTCTGTTGACACTCCTTATTGCAAGATATCTCTTCCTGAAAGGGGACAATAGCAGCAGTAAGCATTATCAATGCAACATTTAGTAGGCAGCTCAGAAGACAGGGATTGAACTAGCCAAGCTCTACTCAGGACTCTGCTTCTCTTAATTCAGGCTCCCTCTGAATCCTGTTGTCAAAATCCCCAAGCAAATTGCAAGACCAGAAGTAGAAGTCCGATCACTTTCCTTCAAAGCTACACACTTTCAGTGCCAAAATCAAAAACTAAGAGCTCTCATAGTTAGCCATCACTGGGCAGTATCGTAATCAAAACCTATCATAAGGGACACCTGCTTTAAGACATAAGGGGAAGACCAGTCTCTTCACTCTCAAATGAGTGACAATCTTTTCCTTAACTGTACTTTGTTATTTGCTTTTTAGCTATGCTTTGCTTTTTTTCCCCTGGGGAAAAAAAAAAAAAAAAGTGTGAGAAGACAAAGGTTACCTTCCCCCAAACTGTAGCGGATTCGTACATCCCACGCATGCATTGTTTCCTTGTTCTCAAATCCCAGCATCACAACTTGAGAGAGACAGATGATTGCAAGCGTGTGATTCAAGCCCTCATAGGAGAGCCCAGGATCCAAGCCACAGATGTCTTCTAAGGTCATGCTGCTCCTCTCCTTATGCCCTTTTGCTCGTTCAGATTTATCCTTGTACACCAGCATGAGCAAACAGTCTAAAAGAAGCAAAACTGTCAGAGATGATGAGGCAGAACATAGAACATAACACATTTCTCAGTACTCTGCTTCAATATAAAGGGGCTTGAGACAACAGCAGGGTCAGTCCAATGAAGTCAATGTAAGAACTCAGTTTCCTTTTCCCAGCCCACCCCCAGCTAGTTTTCATTCCTTGTTTTCAGGGAACAAACATTGAAGGCATGTTTCAAGGGTAATCTGCAGGCTCAGAAATAAGGAGGCAAGTAAAAAGCCTTCCCTATTTTACTTTTCAAAAATCCAGTGGTTTTTCAGATACTCTCCCAAGTCTGGAAGAGACTGACTCATTAATTCTGAACATTAGGAGTTACACTGTGATAGCTGTTCACATTACAAACACTAAAGACCGAGAGGCTATTGTCATCTATATTTCCATTAGAACATACTGAACCACAAATGAAATTCTTACAGTAGTTCACAGATTACTCAACTACTAAATGGCGAGCAGGCTGCACTGCCAGATTGTTAGTGTCAGCTCAGGTTTCCTAGTTAAATGTTACACAGTAGCCATTGCTAAATAATCATTATGTGCCACACCTTTTTTTTTTTTTCTTAAATATTTGCTTGTGTCACCATTTGTTTTTAACCCCTTCCTAGAGGTGTTTATTACACAGTAACTATGCAATGGAAGAGAGTAATTCAAGTGCCACGGTCCCATGGAAAAAGCACATTTCACAAGCAAACCCAAAAGACAAGGAGAGAGACCTCTCCCACCTTCTCCATTTATAACAAGAGCACTCCTCTTCCCCCAGGTTCCCTTCCTATCACATAGCACTCGGTTGTAAATGAAATTAATGGTCAATATCAAAGCTGCAACATCCACAGCTTAAGCTGACCTACATACCACAAAGGAGAAAGCCCCCTATGCACCATTTTATGAATGTTGGGGTGTGGTGCTGAGCCCTGGCGAGGTGCCCTGTGGCTCTCAGCTGGGCAAAGGACTGGCAAATCTCCAAAGAGGTGAAAAATGACTGAAAGACTGAACCGTCTGCTAACTAAACCGGTGCTTTGCATGGATTCCCAATTGTTTTTGTGCACCTGTTAGCAAAAACAGCTGCAACTATGATATTTAAGCATTCTGCAATACAGTTGTGTGACTGCGGAATGAACAACTATGGTTTACAGACCAAGAAAAGCAAATCACTGGGGACTTTTTCTGGTAAACCTGGCTAATTTTGCTAGAATAAAAATACTATTTTTGAGGAATAAGCTACATTATCAGTCAGTAAGTTTTCAAAGCTAGCTCCTTCATTTTCCCCTTCAAACTTGGCTTACTCATGTTAGAAATCCAGGCCTGCATTCACATGTCTAGATACTAGCTCTAGGATCAACAGATGCCCGTTACAGCCAAGATACAGGCATTTAAGACACTAACGCATAACTGTAACAACTCAAGTAACAAAGAGTTAGGTCCGAAGAGCTTCAATTACTAAGAAACCTTCAGTCCACCAGCAACAACCTAGAAAAGATGCCATAATCCGTTCTGCAGCAATGCAGATTCACATTTTCTAAGTGTAGGCAACATTTAGCCCTGGAAAGATACGCTTTTGGGCCCAAATGTTTTCCCTGTTAGGAAACGATGGGGAAACCTGAAACTTACTTTTCCTTCTCCAGCAGTAAAATATCAACTCTGAACAACGCTTTCAATTTCCCCTTCAGAAGCATGGAAATGATTTTTTTTTTTTTTAATTCAAAATGTCATTTTATTTTTAAATTGAAGTGATATTTTGTGTCAAAACACTGATCAAGAATTACTACCGAGCTTACAATGCCAGCTTTTTTTACAGCCACCAACCACCCTGAAGAAATAATAATAATTTAAAAAAAAAAAAAAAATGCATTTTAAACGGGAACCAAAAGCAAATAGCTGTGCCTTGAAAAGTCACCTTTCCCCATGGCTTTAGTCAGCGCCTGATATTGAGCTACCTAAAACCCTCGCTCCGAAACAAGGCCCGGGCACCGGCCTGAGGGTCTCGGAGGTCCAGCCCGGGCTGCCACGGGCCTGCAGCG